TAATTACATTTTAATGCAATATTTAAATTAATGTTGAACCAAAAGTGAATAAAATTTACAATCTAATTTCAACTGTAGGTGTACTTTTGTACTTTTAATAAAACCTATGTTTACAGTTTTTTATTTACAAATACAATTTTAATTAACATTAAAGGTTTATTTAAAATAAAACTAAAAGTGATCAGCATTTACGATCTAATTTTAGCTGTGGATGTACTTTATTTATAAACTTTATACTTTTAATAAAATTTAAGATTACAGTTTTTTACTAACAGTTTAAATTAACATTAATTGAATATTTGAAGAGTTTGGTTCCAAAATGCTATAAATCCATTTGGATTAATTTGAGTAAAAATGTGTTTTCTTTACCAAGAAAGTGGCAAGATGAAAACCACTATTTTCTGTTTCAAACTTTCACGTAGCATCTTTAGGTTATAATAACATTAAAAATTAAAATACATATTTAAATTTTCAAATATTTATTTTAAAATTGTATTATTTTTTTCCCCAAAATGCAATAAAACCATGACACTTTTTTTTCTTCAAAATGCAATAAATCCAATGAATCAATATAAAAGTTATTTTTCATATTGAAACTGTTAAAAATACACAACATAGTAAGTTAATCCACATATGACAGCCTCTGAACTTGGTCAATACTAATCTTATATGCAGGCACTGGACTGAAATACATTGAATCAGTCATTGCTCCAAAAATGAATTCAACAGGTAATCTTGTTAATGCTATAAATTAATTACAACAATAAAAGGAAATTTCATCATGAACATACATGAACAACAATATAACATTAAACCAAAGAAATTCCAAAATGAAATTTCCCTTATATTCAACTTCCAAAAGTGCATTCATCTTTGCCATGTTACATTCATTTAGTTGACTAGTGCTATACGCTGTATTAACAAAAACATTAATGGCATTAATAAAAACACTTACACTGGCAAGCTACGCAATATCGCGTTCATGATCGAATGTGACTCATCTGCGATTATGAACGCGATATAGCAGTGATCTACGGCTCTGTGCATTAAATGCCGCTTCATCTGAAAGCACGTTGTAACGTAGTTCGTAGATCAGGAAGAAGGAGGCGGGAACCGGCGAACGCTTCAACAAAACTTTAATAAAATAAACAAACACAAAATAAACTCCAGGCCTGGTCCTCTCTCGTCTTTCACTGTTGTCACTCCTCCTTTGTATCCTTCCGGAGCTCCTCCGTGAGACTCGAGACCGGTGAGTGGTACAGGTGTCGCTCACTCTCTCGTCTTTCACTGTTGTCACTCCTCCTTTGTATCCTTCCGGAGCTCCTCCGTGAGACTCGAGACCGGTGAGTGGTACAGGTGTCGCTCATTATCAATTACTCCACCGGCCTCGCTCCGTTCCCACGGCTCTCGGCCCCGCCCCTCTCGTCACACACGTGATGGAGATTTACTATTAATCACAGAACCGGCTTTACTGACGAGATGCGCATGACAATCACATGCGATTTATCGTGCAGCCCTAAGTTTGTTTGTTGTTCGTTTGTTGTGATCTTTTTATGGATAAAATGTCAAGCAACTATCAAACTATGGCCAAAATAACTCATATAACAGTCAAATAACATTTCACTACATACTGCTGCCTGAGTGTCATACATGGTCCTGTAGCTCCACATTCCCGCCATTAGTCGTCATACGCATCTGCGCCATTCATTAACACAGAGACACGCAGAATTCATATTTAAATAGTCGTTTTGCGGCTTAATATTTACAAATACTAGTGGGAGTGGGAGTGTGTTCACTTGTGTGTGCGCATCGGGGCGGAACTCCGCTGTGCGCGATAACAGAGAGCGCGACCATGTAACGTAGAGACAGAAATGACATGCCGTCGTGTAAATAAGATAAATAACATAAGGCTATTTAGTTTGTTTAATAAAAGAACAAGGAAAGGTTCTATAGGAAAGGTAACTTTAAATGACTTCTGTTGTATATTTAAATAAAATTAACTTGACCTTCAAGGGGGGTGGGGGGTGCCTTTGGAGGGGCTGGCCGCCCCCCCAATATAATGGCAGGGGAAACACTGTCCAAACTATAACTCAGTTCTGTTGCAGTGCATATGTTGCCATTTCCTTGCAGATATACTTTCTCTGAAGGCCACTTATTAGTCAAGGTGTCCCGTGATCTTTTCTCACCCTCTTTGACACTTAGAATGAATCAAACTGTTTTAAACATCCCTTTAAGTCTTCTTTATGTAAATGACCTCTGTAATCATAACTCTGCTCTGTAACTTTAGGTTGTAGAGTCGATACAGAGATGAATGGATTTGCCTCAGTGAAAAATTAACAACAAAAGTCCATTACTGACGGAGAGTGAATTTTGAAGCGAGCACCCAGGGCCGAGCGACTCTCTTTACAGTCCTTGAACAAGATTTATCACTAACGCTTTTCTGAGGACACCCAAATATGGGATGGAAATTACTAATATGGGAGGGTTCCAGTTAAGCGTGACACTGGCAGGCTGCTGAGGTGAGGCGCTTATGGCTGCGCTCCAGATCTGATACATTACGGACTGTAATTTCAGCACGTAATACAAGCATCTGACAAGCTCTTATCACCAATTTACAGTGCCTTTTTTGGGAGAAACATTTAATGTCTGCACACTTACAGATAAGGTCATCATGATAAATTATCATTGAAGAAACTAGCTTGACACACCACTAAACATTATAACTAAAGTATACCTAAATATGCACTTTAAATGTTTAATATTAAAAAATGTATTAGTGTTTTGTGTATAATAAATAAAAAAGAGAAATGGGATGAAAATAATTAAAATAATATTTTTCATGTTTTTGTAAGATTCAACCTAGAATCTCTTACTGTATAGAAACCAGATAAGCAAGAGGGAAATAATTAACATACTTTATTTATTGTTTTTGCAAGATTCCCCCTAGAATTTTTTTACTGTGTGAAAATGAGAAACAAGAGGAAAATAATTAAAATAATATTTTTTTCTTGTGTTTGCAAGATTCATCCTAGGATTCTTTTACCATGTTAAAATAAAAAAAACAAGAGTAAAATAATATATTTTTTTATTGTTTGTGTGAGATTCACCCCCAGAATCTTTTTCCTTTCTCTTCCACGTCACTAAACATCCTCAAAGTAAATCAGCCGGTAACTCTTGCTGAATGAAATTAAACTCCATGGATTTACTGACTTCGCTTTCTCATGAGAAGCATCTCTGTTTCCCGGTTTTGTCTCTCAGTTACTGTTTGCAGTGTTTGTGTCCCGTGAGAGATGGCAGAACTCTCTAGAACATTAGGAAAGTGAGACGGCCGAGACTCTAAAGACTCTTGTGTGGTTTTAGCAGAAGTGATTTACTGCTGTGGCTCTTAGCTAGTGATTCAAACACCTTCTGTGTGAGTTGGCACGAGCTCCCGTGTGACGGTCGTGTGAAGGTCAGCCCTGCGTGTCCGTCCCCGGACTGTACATGTATTTGTCCCGGTGATGGAGCGTGTATGTTAATGTGCATTTGTGCAGCAGGTGACGTGTCTTTTACAGTCCGGTCTCGTGTTTGAGGTTTAGCAGAAGCCCGAGTCCAGCAGCAGCTGTTCTGTAGTTTATGACTGATGACACTGAATGAAAAGCTTGCATTTGTGTAGAGGAAAGGTAATTTGTACACCTTGTACATGTGGTTTTCTGTGATGTTTTTTACATTATTGTTGCAGATTCCGCTGATTTGTCACCAGGATTATGTCATATACCTGCCTAACACAGATGAGGTTTTGTTGAAGTTGCAAAAATGATTTGTAGCATCAGTAAAAATGAGGTGAAAACCACAAACCAATCAGTAAAGCATGTAATGTCCAGCTATTCTATTCTATTCTATATAGTTTTTTTGTTGTGTATTACTATAGTGCATTATATTCATGTATTTTGTAAAGGGAAAAACTAATGAAAAAACAGAGAAAAGAACGTATATCAGGGCTCTACAGTGCGACCATGCGACTGAAAACTACTGCGTGCGACTATGAAATAATATCACTCATGCGACCTCTGAGCCTCATTAAACGTCTGAAAATACACATACAAGCCACTTGTGTGTTCTTCTGTGCCAACTCTACTGATTTCATTTGATTGGTAACTTATTCTTATTCTACTTGTTTTAATTAGACATGTTAAAAAGCTTATAAATATATATATTTGATTTTGACATAAAAGATGACATACTTTTAATAAAGTTAGAACAATGCCATTACAAAGGTAAAAGCAAAATTCCCTATAAATCACTTTAAGGAGTCAACTATCACCTCGTAATGGGAAGGTGAATTTTTTTATCAGAATTTTTGATTACTGATTAGAAGGTGCTCCTAAATTTTTGACCGTGCTCCTACATTTTTTAAATTAGGAGCACAAGCGCTCCTAAAAAGAAAAGTATCTGTAGAGCCCTGTATATATAAAAGGTATAAAGAAAAAAAAATTCTGATAAAATGATATTGAAAAAAATTCCAAGTGAATTTCCTAATGACATTTATATAAATAAAAATGTCTAAATAAATTCCTAAATACATTTATATAAATATTTTTACATTTTTATAAAATGATATTTTCAATGTTTTTTATTTATTTATTAATCTTTTGATTTTTCCTAATTTTCGCATAATTTAATTTTATATAAATAAAATATATATTTTACATTTTTGTAAAATAGTATTCAATGATGTCTTTCTTTCCTAATTTTCTAATACATTTAATAGTATATAAATAATTTTGTATTTTTATTTTATTTTATTTTATTTGGATTTTGATTTGATTTTGAATTTAAATTTGAATTTGAATTTGAATTTGAATTTGAATTTGAATTTGATTTTGATTTGCATGGCATGGCATGAAAAAGTTGCAAAGTGGGCCTGACTTCATAATTGAAGAAAGCACATTTTGCAAACCAAACACCAAATGCCCCCTGATTATTAACATACTAAAGAGGTTGTTTTCTCTCTCTTATAGGTAGAAAATTCATCATAGCCAATGCGCGGGTGGAGAACTGCGCCATCATCTTCTGTAACGATGGCTTCTGTCACATGTGCGGCTACACGAGGGCTGAAATCATGCAAAAGCCCTGCACCTGCAACTTCCTGTACGGCCCACACACTAAGAGGCTGGCCATCGCGCAGATGGCACAAGCGCTGCTGGGGTCAGAAGAGAGGAAGGTGGAGATAGCGCTCTACAGGAAGGACGGTAGGACGAACGCAGCCGCTTATTAATCCACAGCGCGCCGGCATTTCATTAGAACCTTTCTACAGCAATTGCTTTTTTTAGCATGGTGTTTCTCAGATTTAATGCAAAGCATGTGAAGGCAGATGGCCTTCTGTTGTTCTGTTTTGCTTAGTGTTGGAACTCTTGGTAGTTTTGAACACAACTGCATGATCAAACGTTTGTAGTTTTGCTTTAGTCTTTTGCTTAAAGACCTGCTGGACCTTGAAAAGGCTTCAGTGGGAATCTGAAGCGGTTTGTTTGTTTTGCTTGTGCGATTACCTCCGACTGTTCTAGCTCAACAACTCTGGTTTGATAAAATACCTCTGAAAAATGTTTCATAGATCAGTCGCTGAACAGAGATTTGAAGGGAGGATTCGCCACGCCCGCAGGTGGCGTCGTTTATATGATGTCGGTATTGTTTTAGTGCTTATTTACTGAAGCGATTATGCAAATCAGCTCCTGGCTGAACTGGATTGTGAGTGGTTAGTGTCTGCGATGCAGTGAAATCATGCAAACATGACGTGCAGGTTTTGTGAGTCTGCTCTTGAGGTTCGTGACAGCAGATGTTTGCTCTCAGCTGATGGTTGACGTTCTTGTGCAGCTGTGGACTGCACAGCATCACGCTAGCCATCATAGTTTCCACTGTTTATGTGTTCGGCTGTCTGTTTGGTGTTCGTCCCGTACCCTGCACCCTCCTGACCTGCGCTGGAACAGGACATTAGCATACCTTGTTAAGCAATACAGTTTAGTGGTTACTAATGACTCATCTGCAATGGTTCTTAACCTTTTTACTCAAAGCAATATTTGATTTTTTCTCTGTATATCTTCTTTAATTATGATGAAACTAACTACTTAAAACAATTTTTTTTTATTAACAAACCTTTTTGTTAACAGAATTTTTTATTAAAAAAATTAATTAAATAAAAAATTAAAATAATGTATTTATTCCTAACCATATTAATTAAATTATTTATTTATTTATTTGTTTACATGATTTAATTTATTTGCAGTATTTATGTATTTACATGATTTCATTTATTTACCTCATATTTAATGTTTCTCAACCTGTTTGACAAAGTCTGCCATTAAAGAACAATATTTGACTTTCTTTTATATATTTCACCTTTAAATATGATGAAACTACATGTTTTAAAACTTTTTTATTTACAGAAATGGGGTGTTGATTATACTGAATAAAATAACATTGATTTATTTAAAGTATTCATTGTTTTACATTATTTTTTTATTACATTTACATTATTTACATTATTTATTTGTAGTATTTTTTATTTTCTGATTCTAGAAATTTCAAGAACTGTATATTCTTCAGTAAAAACAACAGCTTTTAGGAGGAAAAATACATATTTATAAATAAATATGATTTTAGTTTACATCTTGATTTTATGTATTTTAAGTAAGATAATTTTAATATAATTATTTAAAATTATTTTAAGTCATTCTGAAGCCAACTGCTCTAAAATGATCAGAAAGTTGATTGCAGAAGTTTCTCTTTTTTTAACTAAAGTGGGCTGATATGTGATACTAGTCTATCAAGCCTTATGGCTGGATGATAAAATATATCTTTGAGAGTGTATAGCTCTTTATAGCTCTTTTCAGCCTTTTATCGATATATTAGTTTGACTTTAATGTCTTGATACTCATCTTGATATCTTGATTATGTATTTGCTCTGAATGGCTTAAAATGATTTTTATTCCAGTCAGGATCTATAATTTGGAGCAAACAGCCTTTTTTCCCAAGTAGATGTAGATCACATATGACCCGCTGCTATTTTAGTGTTTTTACATGAGCTTTAATGAAATTCAACGTAATTTTATTTTGAGATTTGAGTTTGACAAAGACGTCAGTAGTTTTTTCTTGTAATTTCAGTGATGATGTAAACATGTTTGTAAGACATTAAGGATTCCATACGTGTTTTTTTTTTTTACATGTAACTTTAATAAAAGTTTGTCACGTATTGCCATGGTTTGTCAGTTTCCTGTGAGTTTTGGGAATTAAGATCTGGTCTTATTCAGAACCAGTTCAGTTTTTTAAATTATACTTGAACCAAATGTTTTTTATCAATATAAAACTGTCATTAAAAAAAGGTGAAATATTTTATTTGTTTACCTGCATATCATGCAACCATTCACCAACATCAGAGAACTGAAATATTATTGAAATATAAATTATAAAAATACTAAATTATTGCAATATTAACTTAATATCTCAGGTGGTACTTCAAGTAAATATTTCAGGGTTTAAACACGTTATAAGGTACAATTAAAATAATGTATTTATTCCTAACCATATTAATTAAATTATTTATTTATTTATTTGTTTACATGATTTAATTTATTTGCAGTATTTATGTATTTACATTATTTCATTTATTTACCTCATATTTAATGTTTCTCAACCTGTTTGACAAAGTCTGCCATTAAAGAACAATATTTGACTTTCTTTTATATATTTCACCTTTAAATATGATGAAACTACATGTTTTAAAACTTTTTTATTTACAGAAATGGGGTGTTGATTATACTGAATAAAATAACATTGATTTATTTAAAGTATTCATTGTTTTACATTATTTTTTTATTACATTTACATTATTTACATTATTTATTTGTAGTATTTTTTATTTTCTGATTCTAGAAATTTCAAGAACTGTATATTCTTCAGTAAAAACAACAGCTTTTAGGAGGAAAAATACATATTTATAAATAAATATGATTTTAGTTTACATCTTGATTTTATGTATTTTAAGTAAGATAATTTTAATATAATTATTTAAAATTATTTTAAGTCATTCTGAAGCCAACTGCTCTAAAATGATCAGAAAGTTGATTGCAGAAGTTTCTCTTTTTTTAACTAAAGTGGGCTGATATGTGATACTAGTCTATCAAGCCTTATGGCTGGATGATAAAATATATCTTTGAGAGTGTATAGCTCTTTATAGCTCTTTTCAGCCTTTTATCGATATATTAGTTTGACTTTAATGTCTTGATACTCATCTTGATATCTTGATTATGTATTTGCTCTGAATGGCTTAAAATGATTTTTATTCCAGTCAGGATCTATAATTTGGAGCAAACAGCCTTTTTTCCCAAGTAGATGTAGATCACATATGACCCGCTGCTATTTTAGTGTTTTTACATGAGCTTTAATGAAATTCAACGTAATTTTATTTTGAGATTTGAGTTTGACAAAGACGTCAGTAGTTTTTTCTTGTAATTTCAGTGATGATGTAAACATGTTTGTAAGACATTAAGGATTCCATACGTGTTTTTTTTTTTTACATGTAACTTTAATAAAAGTTTGTCACGTATTGCCATGGTTTGTCAGTTTCCTGTGAGTTTTGGGAATTAAGATCTGGTCTTATTCAGAACCAGTTCAGTTTTTTAAATTATACTTGAACCAAATGTTTTTTATCAATATAAAACTGTCATTAAAAAAAGGTGAAATATTTTATTTGTTTACCTGCATATCATGCAACCATTCACCAACATCAGAGAACTGAAATATTATTGAAATATAAATTATAAAAATACTAAATTATTGCAATATTAACTTAATATCTCAGGTGGTACTTCAAGTAAATATTTCAGGGTTTAAACACGTTATAAGGTACAGTAGATGTGAATGGTTAACGTTATTTTTTCCCCCCGGGAATACTATATTATGAAATATATTTTTGATTTAATTGTTCTTAAATTGTCTAATTTGGCAATAGGTTTCTGATAGTAAATGTAATAAAAATTGTGTGTGACCTTACCGTATCGCACAAATTCCTCAGATTTTTCTGACATAGAGCGGCGTCTCACGTTTTGTTTCTATCCTCTGTTAGATACTGACTCAACGATGAAAGCTGCCATCTATCTGAAACACACTCACATATGCATCCGCCCACACACACACACACAGAATCTAGAATCAGGCCTTGATGACGACACACACACTTTGATTCACTCATGCATAATTCAGGTGGAAAAACCGTGCTGCTCCAGAAACGGGGATTCCGATCTTTCCCCTCGTGAGCGGAGAGGAGGAACGGGAGGAGGAAACTTTCTTTTTTCTTCTTCTTCTTCCCTTTCCTGGTTTTCGTGCAGCCATTTATCTGGTGTGCTGTGCGTTGGCATCAGCCTTCATCGTGATGGATTGCCCTTTCCTACTCTCTATTGTCCATCGCTGATCTGACTGGCACTTAATCAATCACTCTGAGTTTTAAACCCAACTCGGGTGCATTACCCATGAAAACAAGAGGAAGACTAATGTGTGAAAAGAGCCGGGGTAAAAAGGGCACAACCTAATATTTCCCATGGTGCACTGGCTTCTCAATCTGCTTTATCTGCTCTGATGTAGGGCCCTATAAAATCACTTTTTTTTTTTTTTTTTTTACGAAGTCTGTTTCATTTTTTTCCCCCAAATACTGTTTTTTTTCCCCCTTTTCTTTTCTATTCTGTTTTAATGATTAAATTATTTTTTAGTAATCAAAAAGCAAGTCTAATTAATGAAGTCATGAAACGACAACCTAATGAATATAATTTACAAACAATTTATTAAGTTAACAGAAACTTGAATGTTCTAATTAATAGAAGTCATGAAACATATACTATTTAATAACAATTTATTAACATTTTAAAAGAAATGGCATTTGTATGGTCCTATGAAATTTGTTGCTGTTTTCTTCCAAATTCCATTTTATTTGTTCCAAAATTCTATTTTGGGATATTTTTTTATGGATTAAAATACATTTTAGTTATTAAGAAGCATGTATAAATTCCAAAAGCATGTATAAACTACAGTCATGAAACTTAAAAAAAAAAAAAAACAACAACTATTCGATTATGGTGCTACTAAACTTAGTCATTAAAATGTTTATTAGCAACTGAAAAAAGCACAAATGTCAGGACATGTCAAAACTTCTCCAGGGCCCAAAACACCCTCAGACCCCAGAGGGTTAAAAGTTCAACAGATATGACAATTTAGGGCCCTATGAAATCTGTTTTAATTGGTCCCAAATTCAGTTTTCCCCAAATTCAGTATTTTCCTTTTTTAATTTTCTGGATTCCGTTGTAATGGTGTGATTAAATTTTAATGTGTAGTCAATTAAATAAATAAATATATATATCTGTCATGAAGGTTTTGGTGGGTTGTAGTGAAGACCTTTGAGTTTCTGTGTGTATTTGTTTATAGTTTTGCTCAGAGCAGCTCTGGAGATGAAGTTCATTTTCTAATATAATGATGCAAGATGCTGAAAACACCATAAGCGTCACGTGTGAAGTAGACCAAACTGTGCCACTCATTCACACAGAACATGCAGACTTCACATTTCAATAGCAGTGAACAGACACTACTTCATATCCATATATTCTGCATTGCAGAAATCACAGGGCCCAGTTGATGCTACACAGTAACACTTTCCTCTCAGCATGTGATGAATGTCAGGATGCTCTTGTGCTTGCTAATCATGTTTTCCAGGAATTGTGTGATCGGCTTGGCTTAACTGAACCGTGAGACGTTACCAGCTGCTCTTGGTGTTGAACACATTAGAGCCGCATTGTTGACGTCCAAACGCAGTCTTAGTTCTGCAGTGACCCTTTGAGCAGAAACCTGACCTTCATGACCTCAGGGATCTGATATTTTTCCCTACAGCAGCTTTGTGATACCAGTTTCCTAAAAATAGCCTGTTTCATTTGCTTGAGTAGTGTTCTGTAGATT